GAGTCTCACTCTATCACCCAGGCTGGAGTGCAAGGCCATGTTCACAGCCACCCCCAGTGTCTACCCGCTGGGCTCCGCAGATCCTTCCACCTCAGCCTTCCAAGTAGCCAGAACTACAGGTGCGTGCTACCATGCCCGGTTAATTTTTTTTAAATTTATTATAGAGATGAGGTCTCTATAAGGCGCGGGATTACAGGCTGAGCCACCGAGCCCGGCTGGCCATGTCTTTAATGGCTACAGGAAGAAGCCCCCAGCCCTGAGGGTGTCAGGCCAGAGCAGCCCAGATGTGGAGTCTGAGACAGCAATCTGGAGTTGGTCCCGGGTGGAGCCAGAGGTTTTTCAAGTGCCTTCTGGGATTTCTGATCTTCCCTCCTGACAGCTCTCAAGCTCCAGCGCCCTAGGAGCTTTAAAAAGTCCACACCCAGACCAATCACATCAGAGTCGCTGGGGTGGGGCCAGCTCTGACAGTTTCTCAGGTGTTTTCCAAGATGTAGCATGGATGGGAGGGTAAGGGCTGGACAGTAGGCTTGAACAGGCTTGAGATTTCCAGACATAGTCCTGGGCAGCATCCCAGCCCTGTCTTTGTGTCCCAAAGCTGTGTCAGAAGGTGTCCCTGGGCCACCTTCTGCCCACTCTGTGTGTCTCTTACAATGCAGGTTCATGCATGCCACTAAGGCCCTGTCACTGCAGAGCTCCTCAAGGCTGGCTCGGCCAGGGGGACATAAAGCAGGTTGACAGGAGCAGGGCTCTGCAGGAGGTGTGGCCACAGACTCTGTTGTGGTTTTCAGTGGCAGCATTGTTGGTGTAAGCTTGCTGGGTTAGAACATGGGAAGGGGAGGAAATCCTGCTAGGAAGAGGCTGACTCAACTTCCACTCAGACTTCAGCAACCTCCTGCGGGTAGTGCCAGGATCAGTCTCTAAGTCCCATGCTGGTGACATTTGGATCTGGAGCCCGAGCGCCTGGGTTCAAATCCCAGCTCTGTCCTTGGATGACAGTGGCCTTAACCTCCTCACAAGAAAGAAGAATAACAGGAGGGAATTAAGTGGGGTGGCATGTAGTCAGAGCAAGGCTGGACACAGTGGTGTACACCTATAATCCCAGCACTTTGGGAGGCCAAAGTGGGAGGATTGCTGGAGCCCAGGATTTTGAGACCAGTCTGGACAACATAGTGAGACCGCGTCTCTACAAAAATCTAAAAATAAGCCGGGCATGGTGGCACATGCCTGTAGTCCCAGCTATTTGGGAGGCTGAGGCAGAAGAACCCTTGAGCCCAGGTGGTCAGCGCAACAGTGAGCTGTGATCGTGCCACTGCGCTCCATCCTGGGCGACAGAGTGAGACCCTGACCAAAAGCAAACAAACAAATAAACAAACCCACAGTAAATCGTCAGTGAAGGTGTTTGCGTTCTGATGGTGCCCATAGGTTAAGGTGCTCCAGTAAACAGTTTCTGAGCATTCGCAATAGATATATATTTATGAATTGCACTCACGGGTTACTATCCTAATATATTATGTTATAATAAAACATTCAACAAAAACAGATGTCTTTGAAGGATGAAATAAAAACACGGGTAGAAACTCCCATGCGTTCTTCCTGCTGCCCCTGTGGGAGTGTACCCGCTAGGGACCCCTGCCAGAGGCCCGGATCCACTGAGAATGATGGTGGTCATCAGGGCCCAAGGACATGTAAGGGACTGGAGGGGGCGTGAGGGCCTGCAGGTCAGGCTCTGGGGAGGCGATGGCGGCGCAGGCTCGGGGCTACGCCTCCATGCTGCGGGGGAAGCGGAATCTGCCGGCGGGGGCCGGAGCGTCTGGCGGTTCAGGGCACGAGGAGCGCAGCCCGGTGAGACCCACGAGGGAGGGTCCCTGCCGCGGG